GTGTTGTTGTTATTGTCCTGATTTTACTGATGAGGAGACTGAGGGTCAGGTAGCTGAAGCTGTAAAGTGGCTGAGCGTGGACTTGTAGCCAGAACTGCCCGGCTTTCAATGTTTCAACAGCATCACCACTGCAGATGGCCGGGAGGCTTGGGGTGGCCGTCATGTCTCACAGCTTCTCTTGTCTGTTGCCGTCTGGCTGGGTTATCACCTCTCTGCTCTCGTTGATAGGGCGTGCCAACCCTCAGTCTTTCTCATCAAGTTGGCAAGCAGCATACTTTTTTACTTTTTCCTTAGACTTGCAGGTACCTAATCTTGACCTTTACCACACACACCCTTTGGTCACACCCAACCTGGCAGGGCTGAGAGAGGCTCCATCCAGTTGTGTCCAGAAGGGGGGAGTTCTCACTTGTATCATAGAAAAGGATGATAAAACACAGAGAAGAAAAAAGAAATCAGCCCTAATCCTTCCAGCAAAATTTAGCCACTATTAATAGGAAGCTATGGATATAGAAATAGATGTAGACAAGAATGATATATATGCACACATTATTATTTTATAATGCAGAATCACGCTTCTTTGTGAACCTTTTTTTGCTCAGTATATTCTATAATAGTCTTTAAAAGTCAATAGCAGCTGACTTAACCGCTTTGTTACACTGTTGGCTCAGAGTCAGTCAACACCCCTGTGTATGTAACCCCAATTTTGCCCACATCCTTATATGAACAAATTACTTTTTACATCTAAGTGGTACTGAAGGAGACTCTCCCTAGCATTCAGTAACCACCCTTCCACTTGCAGCATTCATGACAGTTACCTGTTTTTCAAACAGCTGTTAACTAGTTTTGCACAGACTGGAAGCCAATAGCTTTTCACTGTATTCTCAAGGATGGCAGAGGCTTTATCAAATGATTAGTTAAATTCCAACCGTATTAAACCATGAGTAGCCTGAGATATAAAGGTAATTTGGAGTAAATTCTCCTTGAACCTTTGTGATGATTGCTTTTTGTCCATGTTTAGAGTATTGGTTCATTGTACGATAAACTCGTAGGTGGTCAGACTCTATTCTCTGGAAAATTCAGATCATGTAACCAAGTTACATTTACTGGCATATCTCCTGTTTTGTGTGATTTCTCTTAAAAAATGTCTTCACGTTCCAATACTTTACAGTGCCTCAGTTTGTGGGATTGTGGTTTGTGTGGAAATCCTCTCCCACCTTCCCTCAGCTATTCCATGTATTTGAGCCCAAATTGAGTCACTTCTGTCTGCTGTTGCCCCATGGCACAGTGCTGGCCTCTGTAGCCAGATTTCATGTCATGAATCTGGGAGGAAAATGCCCAGTAGAGTTTGGCATCCTGTACTTGACATCCTTAGGGTCTGTTCTACGGTCACATGAGTGGGCTTCAGGAAACGGTTCTTTGATGTGGGGACTCACTGCTGTTTCACTTCGTGAGTGCTGAAACCCAGCAAGAGGCAACACCATTTTGGGTGTTTTGAGCACACAAGTTTATGATCGTTGCTCTGATGATAAGAAATAATCTTAGGGTGGTGCCTATGGCTCAAGGAGTAGCGCGCTAGCCCCATATACCGAGGGTGACAGGTTCAAGCCCAGCCCCAGCCAAAAAACAGCAAAAAAAAAAAAAAAAAAAAAGAATCTTTATTCAGAGAACTATGACATAGAAATAGCTTCATAGTTGTTCGTTGATTTAGAAACTCCATAAGTTACTGCTCTGATGTTCTCAGAAACAGCATAAAATTCTTTTGCCTTATCCTTGCCTCATATGATAAACTGCAAAGTGCATTTGCTGGAAAGATTCCTTCCATAACATTCTAGGTAAGTTACAAAGCTGAAAGGGAAAGAGGCAAAGTATTTAAAACGTTTTCTCTCGAGCTATTTTCATCACTGGTCAGATATTTTTACCATCTTTCCTCAGTATGGCACAAAATTGGCTACTTGCCACATCAGAAAAGAAAGTTCTCCCTTATTCCGGACAGGAAGGATGGGGCCCCCAAACCTCCACCTGGAATAGACAAACATGTTTATTTTTCAGTAGACATTCTCCTGCATGATTTCACCTTGTCTCTCTTTTAATAAAAATCAGCCCCAGCCCTAAGTCGGTTGAGTTACGTAACAACTCGTAGCAGTTCTCACCTCCATCTTCTTTCAGGCAATTGCTTGACTATTCTTGTTTTTGCTTTTTCTTATGAAATTAGGAATCAGCTTAATTTTCACAAGATCAAAAGATGATAGCCTCCATGGGATTCTGATTAGATCCTATTTGGTTAGAGAAACTAAGATTCAGAAAAGTTACCTTGTCCAGGGATTCACAAGCAATGCCAGGTAGAGACCAAACAGAGCTTCCCACTCGGGGATTTGAACTCCCAGCTCATTCCTAACCCTGAACACGGAACCTGTCAGGAAAGGGGCCTTGTGGGGGTCCACATCTCAAGACTGCAAACAAACCCACGCTCATCTGTCTGTGATTCCCTCTAATGGGGGGTTTGCTTGACCTCATCTTGCCCTGGACACTGAGGAGGGCAGCGTTTAATCCCTGCCTACTCCATGTCAGATGGCTGCTTTATCTTAGTGTTAAGTCAGCAAAGCAAAGGATTTGCCAAATATTTTACAAATGCTAGACCCCAGAAACCTAGTGAAGACTCGAGTTTTGTCTGGCCCGATTGTCTTGAAGGTGTAAGTGGCTAGTCCAGGAACAGAGGAAAAACTGCGTGAATATTCAACATCAAACCATAACTGCCGCCAACTGTGAACCAGCCTGACTCCCTCAGGGTCCGGTGCATGGAGGGTGCAGGGAGGTGGGGAGTGTTGGAGCTAAGGAAGGAGTTTTACAACCTGGGGATGTCCAGCTGGGAAAGGCCAGAGGTGTGTTGATGCAGACCCTGGGGGCCTGGGTGGGTGTCAGGAGCTTTTGGGACCTGAAGAACGAGATGTCTCACCTGCATGAAGACAATTGCAGAGATATTAGGGCCAAGTACCCATTTCCCTGCAGTCAGAAATGTGCAGGGATCTCATAGGACTGCAGCCTCCTTGCAGATAGTCTGTGCAGCGTAAACGTGCCCGCCTCTGACTGTGCTTATGCCTGAGACCTCCTCAAAACCACCTGGATGACCCAGGAGTGAGTTTCACTTCATACCCTGTGAGCAGAATTTGGGACTATGAACTTTACTGGAGGCTGTGCTGTCTTTCGCCTGTGGGGTAATTTCTAGGCTGCTCTGTAGAAAGGGGGTCTGAGCATAGACGACCCCTTCCCCATGCCTTAGGAGCAGAACAGCCCAGGCAGGTGAAGGAGAAAGAGCTTGGAGTTAAAGCTGGGCCCCAAGTCCAGTTACCCATCGTGGCTACCTTAGACAAGTCAATTAACAGCTGCCTCAGTTTCTTCTGAAAAAATTGGATAACAAGAATACTTATCTCATATGATTTCGTGGGAGCCTTTAAATGAGATAATATATCTGAAAATATTATAGATGTTCCTGATTTATGATGGATTTACACCCTGATAAACCCACTGTAAATTGAAAATATTGTAAGTGGAAAATGCTGCTCCCTTCCTTCCTTCCTTCCTTCCTTCCTTCCTTCCCTTTCTGACAGCCTCACTCTGTTGCCTTGGTAGAGTGCCCTGGTGTCTCTACTCACAGCAACCTCAAACTCTTTGGCTCAAGTGATCCTCTTGCCTCTGCCCCTGGAGTAGCTGGGACTATAGGTGCCCACCACAACACGCAGCTAGTTTTTCTATTTTTAGTAAAGACAGGGTCTTGCTCTTGCTCAAGCTGGCCTTGAACTCCTGAGTTCAAGCAATCCCCCGGCCTCAGCCCCCCAGAGTCCTGGGATTCCAGGCGTGAGCCACCGTGCCTGGCCCTTTCAGCTTGCTTTGTCATCAGAGTATTTGAAACTTCTGCTTTCACCTTTTTCCTCAAAGAAAACTCTTTATTTCCCAAAGTGTAAAGTCATTGCGTTATTCCATTTTGGAGTTGGAAATGGATTATAGGACTGTGATTCTTGTTATTCGGTATGTGTTGAGTTTCCTTTTGATTTTAGATGTATGGAGGAGGGGGACCAGCGTGCAGTTTGGGTCATTTTCATACCTTCATAGGCGTGTTTTTTGAAATCTTCAAACCTTAGTCCTTGTCTACCTTTGTTAAATCACCTTGCAAATGTTTTTTTGTTTTTTGTTTTTTTAATTAAGTTCCCGTCATGTGCCACTGATGCTTGCAAGGTGCTAGGAAGATGATTATCATCCAGGTGGTCACAGTCCTGGAGAAGCTGTCAGACTAGTGTAGGAAGGGGACGAATCACAAGCAAGAGCAGAGTGAGCCGAATGTCATTGTAAAGTGGGGGGCTTGGGGATTGGGGTCCACCTCAGATCTGTCCCCACCTTTCTTACCTAGGGCAGGCTGACGTTCAGGGCAGTCCTGTGGGAGGTGGGGGTAAGTGGGGGTCTGGAGGATGAGAGCAGGTGCAGGGAGATGAGATGGGACTCAGGCCATGGTGGGAGCAGGAGAGAAGGTCCAGTTCTGCAGCTGCCACCACCGTGGGGCTGTGGGCTCTGGTTGGCTCCACCACTGTTCAGTGGGGAGGCTGCAGAGTTTGGGCCAAGCACGTCACCTTCTGGGCCCAAACTTCTTCATCTGTCATCTAAGTACTAACCTTGGAGGATGATGGGAAAATTGAAGGAAGGATTATTAGTTAAGAACTTAGACTGTGCCCAACAGGCAGTAATGCCAAGGTTTCCTAAAAATATATAAATCAGGGCGGCACCTGTGGCTCAAAGGAGTAGGGCGCCAGCCCCATATGCTGGAGTTGGTGGGTTCAAACCCAGCCCTGGCCAAAAACTGCAAATATATATATATATATATATATATATCTCAACTACTGTGCAATGACTTTAACCTCGAGTGTGCATTTTTCTTTGAAATGCATTTTTTTTTCTCAACTGTAAAAGCACATCGTGTTTTTGCTGACCTTTAATATCGGTTTGTGTTTTAGAGGCTTTCCTGAGCCCTGGACCCTTCTCCCTTCTGGAAGGATTCTCCTGCGGGCATTTATCTGTTCCTGAGTACAGACAGCCACACACCATGGACCTCGTGGGACTGCTCAAGTCTCAGTTCCTGTGCCACCTGGTCTTCTGCTACGTGTTCATCGCCTCGGGGCTGATCGTCAACACCATCCAGCTCCTCACACTGGTCCTCTGGCCGATTAACAAGCAGCTGTTCAGGAGGATCAACTGCAGGCTGTCCTACTGCATCTCCAGCCGTAAGACCCGCTCCCGCACCCCGCGCTCCCCGGGGACGCGCCTCAGAGTCAGGGCTCCCGTAGGGGCTCCCCGCTTTCATTATGTGCTCAGCTGAGCTGGGAGTTGGGGTTTGTTTTCATTTTATGCTTGAAGGGGCTATTTTGTTTTTTCTACTCAGAAAGTATTTTTGAAGGAGTAATGACAACCCGAAAAGTCCAGCAGGTACAAAGGGTACCCTGTAAATGGTGACCTGCTTCCCATCACTGCTTCTCTGGCTTCTTCCTCAGAAGCACCAGGGGTTAAGGAGTGCTTGTTACCCCACAGAAATCAGGCAGATTTGCGGCTCTTATGTGTATACGAGTATGCAGGTGGCGTCTCTGTGTGTATGTGCACAGACACATATGTTTTTAAAAAATGAAATGGCAATATACTATATCATTCTCTTCCTTAGTTTTTTTCCTCCTTCACATTTTTATTTTGAGATAATTGGAGCTCTCCATGCAGTCATAAGAGATAACATAGAGAAACTCCGTACACCCCTCAGCAAGTTTCCCCACAGTAGCATCCTCCTCCCTGGAGTGCAGTATCCAACCAGAAGTTTGCACTGGCACAATCCCCCAACCCTACTCTGATTTCTCCACTCTTCTCCGCACTCATCCGTGTGTGTGTGTCTTGATTGTGCTAGGCTATCTTAAACCTGACTCACTCAATTGGCCTGAGTTTCAACAATGAAAAAGGATAAAATCATGTCTCTCCCTGCCTTTCTTCTCCTCAGTCTTCTTACCCCCATTTCCAACAGAGGTGTCCTATCACTTCTAAACCAAGAGAAGAATAATTGTAGTTGTTTGTCTATCCCAGAGTGACAAAGTAGTTGCTACATGTCCAGGGACCCATAACGGTACAGACAGTGCAGGCAGAGATTCCTGTTTCTCAGTCACCATTGGTTCAAGAGTTATTTTCAAATAGATGGTGCCACCCCCCCCACACACACACACACACCACACACTATGAAATTAATGTATTGGGATTTTTTTTGGAGACAGAATCTCAGAGTCTCAAGTTGCCCTGGTTAGAGTTTCATGATATAGTAGCTCACAGCAATCTCAAACTCTTAGGCTTGAGCTATCGTCTTGCCTCAGCCTCCCCAGCAGCTGGGGCTACAGGTGCCCACCACAACACTCAGCTAGTTTTTTCTATTTTTAGTAGAGATGGGGTCTCACTCTTGCTCCGGCGGATCTTGAGCTCCTGAGCTCAAGGGATCCAGCTACCTCGACCTCCCAGAGTGCTAGGATTATACGTGTGAGCTACCACACCTGGCCATGGGATGTTTTGAAGATGTGTTTTGCTGTTGGTGATGATTGGTTGACCCTGTACCTATTCTCAGAAGCAGAGAACACAGTGTGTTGTTAGCAATTATCTACATGGGTATGAACAGATTTCAAAATATGAGCTACCTTAGATTTGCCAACAGTATAAAGTTATTATTATCTTTTTGATACCTTTTAAATCAATCAAATTTGAATTTGAATCAAATTTGAATCAAAGCTGTGTGCAATTATCCGAATGGATTACCACTGATCCAATTAGTCTTACTCGTTAAACTTCAAAATACTAACTTGTAGAGGGCGGATGACATTGTTTTTCATGATTTCTTTTGCCAACCACCAACGCAGTCTGCTGCTGCGGGCTGTACTTTTCCTCGTCATGTGCTGTACCATTCCCCTGCTGGTAGCCCCTCCGGAGGTGTGGGGAGAGGAAGCAGGGCAGAGACAGTGGGAGGTGGCCTGGAACAGGAGCAGTAGCTATTTGAAGAGAGACAAGTGTGTGTGATCAAGGGAAAGGAGATGGTTGACTGACATTTACCTCATAATTTTAACTGTCTTTTTACCCTCTAGTGGTAGATTTCTATTTAAGCAGAATTTAAATGTAACAAAGCAATGCTGATTGATTGAGTTTTTCACTGAAACCTGTATTTATGTGATCATTTGCATGCACCTATGGAGATTCCAAAATCTGTCCGTCTGCAATGTGAAATCCTATACATTTGTACTGTTCTAACCCTTCCTCAAATCTCCAGCAGATGGTTAAGATTCAGATTTCTCATCTGGAGTTAGGAAGTAAGAAATCAGATTCGGGATCAGAATTCCTCAGAGTACTGTATTTTGGTTTAGCTTGGTGGTAAAGACCCGCTAAGGCAGGGTCATGTAGGTATTTTCTGAGGATGCTTTAGCCTGCTTGTCTAATTAATCATGTAACAAATTCAGACAGCAAGGTGGATTTTTAATCATCACAAATTAAATTATTTAGAACGAATTCCAAATGAAACTCAATAATTAACCACCCAATTAACCACCATCCACATGTGGCACAACCAAGGGCAGACAGCCTAATGTTATGGAAGGCCTGGAAGCACCTGGTGCCTCCCACCGTGATCTGTGCTTGGTTCTCCAGAAGGAATCCTCCATGGTTCTAGGTCATAGCAGAGACGTTTTATAACAATGCAAAGAGGGCAGGGGATATTTCTCCAGTCCTGATTCTTGGAAGAAAAGAACGTGGTAGAAGGGGGTCTAAGCCATCCTAGCCTGGCCATCCTAACAGGAACTGTCCTGTTAGGAACCATGTCCACCCTCTCAGGATTCCCCACTGCTGGTGACCCGAGCTGTTATTTTTCTGCTTCCTTTCACTTGCTCTAGTAATTGACAGAGCTCCTTGTAGCCTGAGTTGTTTCACAACAACCAAAAACATGTGAACAGACAGAATATTCAGGAAGTTTTGCTGGGCTACTGACTATCCATCCATAGGTGACAACTCGTAGGCAGTCTGGCAGCTTCTGTGTGGTGTGACCCTCCTCCTTTTCCCTCCAAGTTAAGATAGAAACTGCCCATGGGCAGTTGTATCCTCTGCCATATGAACCATTCTAAGCTTAGAAAATCAACAGCATTCATCACTTGTAGCAGATTTTCTGAGGAAAAGGCAGAAAAAGTTTGTTTCTTCAAAACATGCCCCCCCATCACCCCGAATGTTCACTTTTTCCTAACAAAACTATGTCCTCATCCCTTTTTAAATTAAATATTTGTTAAGAGCTTGGTGTTGCACTGAGTGAATTCAGAGCACTCACCAGCCCTGGTGTGGCAAAGCTCTGGTGTTCAAGGCCACAGTGATACAAGTGACAGTGAGAGAAAAATGCAAAAAAAACAGCCAGGGGCCCCTCAGGATCCACAGCGGAGAGTGTGAGTCTCCTGTGAGGACCAGCCTCACCAACAAGAACTTGCAAGGACAATAATTTACTCTAGATGGCTATTTTGTCTTGTTTTTGCCTCTATTTATAGGTGGGAAAGGCTGAGCCAGGCTGGCTCTACTTGCTGGTTGAGGGAGGGAGAGTGGGGTCAGCTGTGGCTTCAAGGTGAAAAGCGAGAATGGTAGAAAAACGGGTGAAGGGTAGAATCGTGTTACCTCTTCAGTGTCTGGGATATGCCCTGTAATCTCTAGGGAAAAGGGACCAAGACTGGCTGTTTTTTCTTTTCACCCTGGCAGAATAGGTTAAAAAAACAAACAAAAACCCAGAAAGATTAGGAGAACTTATTAATGTTAAGGCTTTAAGAAAAACACTTGGGCAGGGAGGACTATAGATGATCCTCCACGTCCTGGAAGGGGCTGGTGAAACAAAACACAGGAGGTGCCCCCTCCGCCCTGCACCCCAGCCCTGCTGCCTGTGGAGACACCCCCTCCGCCCTGCACCCCAGCCCTGCTGCCTCGCTTCCCAGCTGAACTCAGTGCCGCAAACCAGTCCTGTGAGTTTGAGCTGCCGCTTGACTTTCCTGGCCTGGAAGGCTGTTTGTCACAGCTCCACAAGGTTCCTGTGATGGGCCAGGCCACGTGACATTAAGCGGGGAGTCAGAATTTGGAGCTCTGTGATGCAAAATTAAACACCTCACCCTCCTGCTTGAGACTTGCTCCAACCACACAACTTCTCTCAGTTCAAATAACGGGACAGATCATGTGACTTTTGAAAAAGCAGAATGAGGTGCTACATGCAAGAGTGCTTTATAAATTGTTTATAATACCTCAAATTAGAACAAAAATTAGGACGTAGGGAGGGTGGGCATCTCCCTGCCATGGTGCATTGCTTGGGCAGGTAACTAGCCAGCTCAGCTAAATAACAGGGATAGGATAGAGTTGACCCAGATTCCAATATTTTTGCAACGAAGGGCTTAGGGTTTTTTTGTCTTGGCTCTTGAGAAGCTGTTTACCTTTTCACCACCTCACCCTGGCACTGGCTTGATGGTTGTTTGCCATCCTGCATGGCAGGGTCAGTGTCAGGGGGGGAAGGAGGAGGAGAAGAGAAGTGGGCGGCGTGCTGCCCGCACAGCAGCCCTGCACCGGTCAGTCCCACCTTGAAGCAGGTGTCTGCCTTCTGCCCTTTGTAGGGTGCTTCGGGGCATGCCTGTCATTTCAGATGTGTTACCGAGAAGGGGTTGGGCACTGGCCAGCAAACCTGGTGGACGCTGGGCTGTGAGCCTGTCTGGAAGGTGGAGCGGGGCCTGGTGACTCAGCAGGAGCGGCTTCCTCAGGGAGTGTGTGCAGAAGGGACTGGAGCCCTAAGCTTCCTGAGGAACTGTGCACAGCTGCTGTCCCTTTCCCAGCACTGAAACGGGAGCACAGGGAGCAGCAGGCAGCTCTGCTCTCTTAGAGAGGCAGGTTCTCCACCCAGCCTGAGCCTTCGCACTGAATTTGGGCGCAGTCTGGGCTGGTGGCAGGTCGAGGACTGGATGTTTCACCCCCTCCTCTGGGCAAGGGTGGAGGTCCTCCAGTTGTTACTCTATTCAGGTACTTATATTTTGTGACCCAGGTGTCACAGGGTGGGACGGAAGCCCTAACAAGGTGAAGCTGGAGGAACAGAGACAGCCTTTGGTACGTGAATCATAAAATGGGAGGTACGAGGGCTGGTGCTCTGAATCTCCACCCCTGGGGACGTGGTGGCTCTTGGCTCTGGTTTTCTGTGCTTTCCTGTGTGCCGTTC